GCCCATACTCTGTTCAGAGTTCGAGCTGTGCAGATGGCTTGTTTATCTTCGAAAAAAAAAAATTGGTAATGGAATGTTTAAATACCGCAAAGGAGATACGTGGTCTCGCACTTTAGCCATCGATATGTGATGGCAGCATCGTGTTTCTCGCGAACTTTTACATAAGAATCAACAGTTTAATCGCAAATTCCTCACACATGCAACATCTCCATTTTGTACGCAATTTTATCTAAAACGTCTGAAAATTTCAAGGAATATTACGCATCATTTTCTTTAAATATACATGTTTTATCCTAAGCAATTTGGCAACACTCGAATGTCCGCACGGCGTTCTTCCTTAGCACGGCAGAATAGATATATTGCGAAGCACTTCATGCCACTGGTCATTACATCTACAAGACGCGTCTCGTGCTGACTATTAGATTTCCTGAGAATTAAATAATAGCCAACAATTTAGTGACAATTTTCACTTCTTTCCGATGAATCGAAAGTGTTTGCGACCTCATCGAACATGATCATGTTCAATGGTTGAGGCGCTATAGAGCGACCGCAAGACTGGAAAAATACTTCACGCATTGCGCCTAACAGTGCGGTCGGCCTGAAACGCATATTAGCGCCTACAAGACTGCATGAATACTTCTCGCATTGCGCCAAACGCAGTGCAGTCGGTCAGTTGGCGTGAAATACATAGTATCTAAAGATTCTTTGAGATTTCATTCCCTTGAACCCATGGGAGTGAAAGGGAGATAGATGAAGGGGTGGAGAAATACTATCGTGGGGGTTGGCATTAATCACCAATCTAACAAAAATTGGCTGTTCAATAGTATTTTGGAACAAAGCCCGGCTTTAGGATTTATTATTGCCCTCAGCGCTAGGCCTTAGGGACAATAGGAAACCCAACAGCCAGACCATGCGAGCTTTAACAATGGCTAAGGAAGCTAACAGCAATGGCTGGCGATTGCTAATTGCATTTAACAGCTCAGGTTCGAAGATCAAAGTTGAGGATATTTTCTTCTGGAAGATGAGGTTCCTTTTCACAGATCCGGTCCCAATTGTGAATCAACAAAACTTTCTCGCGTATCGACAACAATGAGCAGAGCTTGTTATTTTTACCGCTGGTTCAGAGATTTTAACGCAGGAGTAGAACAATTTTACCACAGAAAAATTTTAAATTTAACGCAGGGACGAGACGCGTGATAGCCTTTTTTTTAAAATTCCAAACAGGTACAATTGCATCTCTACAAATGAAGGAGAACCTCTATTTCCGCTAGCTCAGAGACTTTAACGCAGGAGTAAAAAAAACGCTTGATACAACTATTTCAACATCCAAGTAGGTGAAATTGCATATCCACGAAATGAAGGAGGACATGAACTCTCTTCAGCTGACTCAGAGACTTCAAGGCAGGAGTAGGAAAGTTAGATGGGACGGAACGCTTGATACAACTATTTCAACTTCTAAGTAGGTACTATTGCATCCTGCAAACTGAAGGATAACACGGTGTTCCATATCATCTCAACTATTCGGTTCGTTTAATACAACTTTCTGTTCGTTCAACCGATCGACTCCTGTAATAAAACTTACGAAGTTAAAATAATTGATGAAAGAAGTTCGATTACATGATCCGAGGGTTACGGGTTACACGAATTTAAAAAATCTGTTTTATTCTGAAGAGTGATCGCTCACGCACTAATTTTTACGATATAACCATATCCCTTATCCCAGATATTGGTGGAAGTTGGTTGCAATGGAGGTGGAGGAGGTGGGTACTGGACTAACTAATGGTAACACACGAGAGACCTTTTAGTTAATCCACTATTTTCTCCCTTAGTCTATGAGTACCACCCAAATTAACCAATAGTATCGCTTCATACTCATTATGTCCTCTTTGTCTATAGCTTTGTCCATCAATTTCAACAACCAGCCTGCTGAGCCGATTTACTCCAGCGCACCAGAGCTCTTTCAGTAGCTCCAAGCGGAAGAAAACCACACGATTAAAAATCGACGTAGTGCGGTGTTGACACCACGTCCGGAACCATTCATCAAAAGTGCAGCGAGGAGCCGTCCAACGTGAACGTGGCAGCGATGGGGGGCGTAAATGTAGTGGTTCCATGCTCACAAACCAGCATTTATAGCTGCATTCGGAGCCGGTGCCGGCTGGCTCGTTGATTTATTAAACCGGTGAGAGCGGGCTGTGACTATGAGCCGGCGCAAGTGCAAGTAAACAGGTTCACTCCTAGGTAAGTACCACCTCTCCACGATCGACGCACGACTCATCTCAATGCTGCCGTGCTCAGGAAAAACGGCGTATAACCATTCGAATGTTGCCAAGTTTCCTCTCTGAAAATATTAATTTTTAAAAATATTAAAGTTTTGAAAATATCATGTTTTTCGAACATGTAATAATATGTTTATTTATTATTCAAAGTTTGAATGAGAAAAAAAGAAAAAAAGAAAGAAGAGAAAAAAGAAAGAAAAAACACTAAGAAAAGGCTCGAACTGTATGTAACAAGGTGGAGTTTAAAAAAAATATTTTTCACTCTAATTTTAATTTGTGGAGCTTCTTGGCTTTTGTTTTATTCCCCGCGAAATGGCGCGAACCCAGCACCATTTCTCCACCTTGTTTAAAGTTTAAGTTAAAACACTATATTTTCGGTAAATGAATGGATTCAAATTCAATAATTAAACTAATAATATGATCATAAAATTTATGAAAATAGCTTCTAACTGTATGATAGTACACTATTTTATTGTGGTTTTGGACCACAAAAACGTATTTAATATATATGTATAGATAGATTATTTAGTAAGTTATTATTTGTTGTTTATATTTATATTTTAGGTATTTAAGATTTGAATCTTCAACTAATCGGTACGTCTTTGATAATCAACTTTTATCATTTCAGCAATCAGAATTCATCTAAAAAAATTTCTCCTAAACTGTATTTTTACAAACACAGTTGAAGACTTGCCTTGTTATTAAATTTTATTAAAATAATTTATTAATATAATCCTAGGGTCTAAATAGTTTATATTTCGTTTTTAATCAAATAATTGTAAAATAAAAGTCTACATTTTAAATAGATTTCTACATTTTCATAGATTACTGATTAAACTAAAAATTATAAAGTCTATTTTGTGTTAAACTTTGAATATAATGCATTTATTTTAAGCACTTAACTAATCACTACAAAATTACAACTAAAAATTATAAAGTCCATTTTCTGATAAACATTTAATCCGTCAATACATCTATTCTAAGTACTTAACTGATTACTACACGAAGAAATTTTCAGACACTTTAAATAAAATGACGAACAAGGTTCTTTGCAAGATCGGAAGACAAATATTTACAAATTTTCCCGGAAATTCGGCATTTCTTCGTGCGGCAGAATGGGAGACGTGCCTCTCTCGACTACCAACGCGACCTCAGACGCGTGGCCGGCCGGCTTGATTATTTTTGGTCTTGAAAGCTCAGTCCGTTTTCCTCGTTCCTAGCCGCCTCTTGAATCGCCAACAAGAGCGGTACCTATTTGAGCCATCGTCTAGGATGGGCACAGTTTCTACAATGCGCGCAGAAAACTTTCATGAAAAGTCTGCAGTCAAAATTCTCCGGTGGGCTGGTTGTTGAAAATGATAGGCAAAGCTATAGACAAAGAGGACAATACTACAAAATAAGACTTTTTTCCACGTTGAAAAAAAAATCGCATTCGGGTAGTATTTTTCTCACTGGAGGAGTGGCAAAATCCTTGAAAAATGCGATTTTTTCCTTTACATGGTTTGATTTAGTATAAATAAAATGAGAGACGCAATTTGAACGACTCAAAACTTTCCTCCTACTATTTTTCCATCCAGATAACAAGTTGGAACCAGTATCAGTCGTGTGATCACTGCTGAAAAGGACAGTGGCGGACCCTCCGAAAAGCCATTGGGAGAAATAATACCGTGAATTTTAGAATGATACAATTTTTTTAACTTCCGTGCATTGCACAGTATCAGTCTCAATTGAAGGCGCTTTTTCTTTCCGCGAGTAAGACTTTGATTTTAATTTCAATCCCCATACCTCTCTTTCTGGATTTGGACTTTCACCATCTGAATATCGTTATTAATGGAATGATGCAATTATTCAAGCTGTAGTGTGTTCCACGTATCATCGCTCTAAATTGGACCGCGTTAAGCAGAAACGAACCAAGCCACATCAACTGTTGCCAAATTCAACTGGGCAATTTAATTTGTTACAATAGGAAGTTTGTGCGGATTATTTTGAAAATTCTAACGAATTTTCTTCGTATACCATTCAGAAACTTTAACGAAATTTGCACAAAAATTCGCACAGCCGTTTCCACGCAAAAAATTTAATATCCCGCTTAAATATGGCAATAACTGGTGTGGCTTGGTTCCCCTCTGCTTACCGCAGGCCAATTAAAGGATTTTTTTCTTTCCTCAAGAAATATATAGAATATAATATAGTAGACTATAAAAGATTCAAAATTGGTGAGTAAAGACACTTGACGGTAGACCGGAAATAGGCCGAAAATGACGATTCTTTACATTTTCCTCTATTTTCAGAATCAGACGCTTAAACTATCTATATTTTATTCCTATAGTTCAAACTCAAGATGTATAAAATCAAATCATCAACACTTATCTATTCTCATCGGTTAGTTGAGGAGCTTACAGTAGACCGGAAATGGGTCGAACATGCTCAAAATGGACGTAAAAAAGATTTTTTAGATGTTTCTCCTGGGTTTTCCGACATCAAACGCTTTAAATATTCATATCCCCCCCCCCCCCCNTTTCAACCTCAAGATGTATAAAATCAAATCATCAACACTCCTTCCAATCGGACTTCTTCTGCTGGTTGCGGACAAATTTTTCATCCCCGCAAATTTAAATTTTACCGCCACTATTCAAATCTGGAACATTACCGCCGGCGCGTCATTCAAGACGCATGCGCAGATCAGCTACTGAGTTGTCTGTTTGTTTACATTGTCGAGTGAGGTTATTTGTTATCTCTCAGTTATCTTCATTGATGTAACTGTCTTTTATTTTGCTCCAAAAAATTGATATTTATCTTACTATGAGTATGAAACGTCAGTTGTAAGTGTGCTGAAGCTTTTCTTTTTGAAGTAAAATCAATCTGAACAATGGCTGCAACCTACGAAGAATTCATCCAGCAGAACGAAGAGAACGATGGAGTTAGATTTACCTGGAACGTTTGGCCTTCAAGTAAATTAGAAGCCACTAGACTTGTGGTGCCAGTTGGATGTTTATATCAGCCATTAAAAGAAAGACCAGGTATGTTGTGCTGAAATTAAATTTTAGCTTTTGTTGCTTTCAGTAAGATCTCTCGACAGGGTCGAAATCAGTTCAATCATTGCATCATTCTACCGTGTGTCTCAGTTTTTGACATGATTGCTTCCCCTGAATTTTGAAACGTACAGACTCATCAATTTTACATATAACATAACTTAATCTAACGTCTGATGAGAGCAAATGACCTAATTAATACATCAACAACCATATGGAGGCTCATTAACGACTTGGAAGGACAAAGCAGGGAGCACCCAAAAGGCTACAGTTTAGAATATGATCTGCCCCAAAACATAAAATTAATATATCCTACATGGTACTACTCCTCAGGCAGCCCAGTGTATGTGTTGCTTCCTTCTGTTCAGGGAAGGTTCCTCGCTTTAGGTTGCCGCTACAGAAGGTGGTGGTGAGTGGAGGAATGCATGTACAATTTCTAAGTCACCGTAAGCAAATGCAGGCCTCCCTATTGAAAATCGTGACAAAGCAGGGTCAATATAGCAAAGAGTGTCGCACTCTTTGCTAAATTCTTATTCTCATTGGCTGAAAAGCCGATGTACTTTTCTATGTTGAGACTGATTTGGAAGGTGGCTGCCTCGGCTGAATCTGCAAGTAACCACCTTCTGTATTTTCCTAATGATCATCACCCTATGATGGGTGCACTCCCAGCTATACACCTGCTTATTGAAAGTTGATTTCAAATTTTCTTTAACAGTAAAGTTTCTAAAAGGTGTCCTAGAATACATTTTAATTATAAATATAGTGTAACCAAAGTGTGCTTCATTCCTAACATGCTTCTTTTTCTTATTTTAGACTTGCCGCCAATCCATTATGACCCAGTCTTGTGCACTCGCAATACTTGTCGAGCAATTCTAAATCCCATGTGCCAAGTTGACTTTCGAGCCAAGCTATGGGTTTGCAATTTCTGTTTCCAACGAAACCCCGTAAGTACCTCATTAACTTAGAACTGGGGAAAGAAAAGAGAAGAAAATTGTCACACCCAAAAATTGCACCATTCAACAGATATTTACATGCTAACCAATGGGCCAACTGATGATTGATGCATCCAGACTGATGTGACTTTTGTCTCCTCTTTTCTTTCCCCAGTTCTAGTTCTATCCTGGATATTGAGTATGTATGTACTGTGCCGACTAAAAATGTTTTCATTATTAAGAGGCACTGTGATTAATGTGAGCAGCAGTCACAAGACTTAGTTTTGTTTCCTTTCCTATTTCAATACCAATCATTTCATATGCACATATTAAGCTCTAACTGAAAAATTAAGTCTCTTAATAAATTTTGCAGTCGTGTAATTTACGAGTATTTATTATCTAGAACTTGAATCGACTGCAATTATAATATCGACAGCCAAAGTGCTGAACAATGTAACTCCATCGCAATGTTTCAAAATTCTTTCTCTTATATTAGTTCAAAGAGGAACAAACCAACTTTACAGCTTGAAATTTTTACACAATAATTTGCTAACAGAGAAATATAATGAGAAAGGTTTTAAGAAATTCTGTCGATTACGTGTCCAAAGTAGCAATAAATTTGATAGGAAGTCTGCAGCATCGCGAAGGGAGATTTGTGGTTTCGCATTTTAGCCATTGATTCGCTATGAGGCAAAGACTGATTCACTGACTTAATGATTGGGCAGTATCTGCTTAAGTTATCCTCAAGCAAAAAACCAAAGAATTGATAATTTACCTTTTTCGTTTTTACTCTCTTGTTCCTGTTTAGTTTCCTCCTCAATATGCGGCTATTTCAGAGCATCATCAACCAGCAGAGCTTGTTCCGACATTTTCGACCATCGAATACACCATTACTGTGAGTATCTTGTCAAAAAGTTTTTTCCATCTCATTTTTTAGCCTTTCTTAAGCTAGTTTGCAGGACGAAAATTGTTTTCTTCTAATTGTATTTTTCCTTCCTGCACTTTTACTTTTCTAACTTATATAAATACATTTCAATGAATGTGATACATCTCAAATTGCCCTTTACAAAGTCAAGACTCTCTCTGAGAAAGTTACTGTACGACAAGAGTTTCAAAAAGCCTGATGCTTAGTTGTGTTTGTTTTGCTTCTTAACTGATTATGATCATTTTCTTTCTGCAATGACAGACAGGAATTTGGAAATACCTACCTCCAATTTTCCTTTTCAGTTAAGTTGAGCTTGTAGCAGTGTCCCAACTTCACCGGAATATTTTAAGAACCAACTTGTCCAGCAAGCTTAATTTTTAGGAGCCCTCCAGTCATTTGGGGGCCAAAACTTGTTTTTCATACATATTAACTTCTACCTATCATAGTATCACAGCTAAATAGAAGCATTAAACCAGTCCATACTCAACCGAACCTGTTCCTGCCATCCCAAACTGAGCTGTACTTTGCCTTCACTTTGAGTAATCTGCCATTGTTGCTCTCAAATTACATTGGGCTGTGTCTAACTTGTTTCAATGTCACATTTGCCAGTAGGTTTCCAAGTTTTTTGGGTGCATTTGACTTATGGCGCCCAATTAAGTCCGATCACAGTCCTTTATCTTGAAATACTAACTTTAATTATGTGGACTTTTTTGCTTTGAATTCTCTTCCAATTATGTGGAGCATTGTACCTACTAAGTATCATCATCAAAAATAAATAAAGATAGTAAATTTTAAAAACCAACAATATAGATCCACATCCTGAGTGTTGAAGTAGGTATATGTCATTCACTATTCACTGAGCAAATTTAGTAGTAGTCCATTGTGCATTGAAGTTATTGTAAAACCAATTTTCTTACGATATTCACCGAAGCTCGGCATTTTAAGATCTTTTTCATCAATGTAAATGGATGATCAGAGATTGTTTTAATATAAAGTATTTACTCCAATTTTTCAGCGAGCTCAGTGTATGGAGCCCATATTTCTACTGGTTGTGGATACTTGTCTTGATGATGAGGAATTAGGAGCCTTGAAAGATGCCTTACAGATGTCCCTGAGTCTTTTACCTCCAAATGCTCTCATCGGAATCATTACATTTGGAAGGATGGTCCAAGTAAGTTCGATTTCCTTCTTCAATTTCAAGTAATTCCTGTAAATGGGATAGATTTCGGGAAGCAGGTGTAAGTGAATTATAGGCAAGCATACCTAGTACACGAGTGCTAAAATCATTGTCTTTGATTGATTTTATAATTTGGGGGTCTGTCATATGATTTTCTGTGCCTATTTCTGCTCTTTGATGCATGACCCTGCCCTTTTTTTCTATTTTTTATAACTTGTTTTATTTATAATACAACTTGTGATGTTAGGATTTGAAACTTTAACCTCTGTAACCTGATGAAGGCTCATGATAACATCACAGCATCTGGAATGTGCTTGTGATGTGCAATAACACCATTCGTATGGTGAGAAGTTATAAAGGCTGAACCAAAATTCAGGCCTGATATGAATTTTTAAAAGCAGGGAGAAAGGTTGTACCCAAAAAATTCTAATTAGATTATTTATCTGCAAAACCCATTTATATATAATTTAAATTTTTTCCATTACTATTTCTTATAGGTGCATGAATTAGATTGCGAAAAATGTTCCAAGAGTTATGTTTTTCGTGGAACGAAAGATTTGACGGCCAAGCAGTTACAAGATATGTTGGGAATAGGGAGACATTCTGCTGCAGCAACGTTGCCTCAACAAGGCCGACCTAGTCAGCAAACTCCTCGGCCACATAATAGGTTTGTATTTACCAATCCCACTAAAAATTTTCATAAGTTTTCTTTTTTTTTCTCTCTCTCTCCTGGGCATTCAACTAGGTATGTGCCGTATTCAGGTTATTAGGTGGACCACCTTAAACAGAAAGGAACTGAATCACATCAGCTATTGCCGAATTTACATGGGCAATTTAATTTTTTACATGAACACAGCTGTGCAGATTTTTGTACAAATTTCAAATTTTTCAAAACAGATTCCTTGAGATTTTCAAAGGAGTCCACCCAAACGTTCTGTCGTAAAAAGTTAAATTGCCCTGTCAAAATTGGCAATAGCTAATGTGGTTTGGTTCCTTTCTGCTAAACGTACTTAGTCCAGTTTGTTCACAATTTTCAATTATACTGCCACCAACATTTTGGAATTTTATTCTGCCCCATAAATTTTTTATGAATTTTGAAGGTCTGAAAGCTGAAGACTTCTCGGCACCACTGTGCCTTTTCATAAACTGCTCATCGTTTTGAACATTGCCATACTTTTAAAATGTTGTGCATAAAATGGACAGAGGCAAGCAAAAAAAGACCATCGCAATTAAGCCCTGAATTGCACAAGTCCCAAGTCTCGTAATATCTGTCTCTACTTCCCAGATTCCTACAGCCAGTACATGAATGTGATATCAATTTAACGGACCTCCTTGGAGAACTACAACGAGATCCGTGGCCAGTTCCTCAAGGAAAACGATCATTGCGCTCCACTGGTGTAGCTCTATCAATAGCTGTCAGTTTATTAGAGGTAATAATATGTAGCCTTTTTTTTTATTCCTGGTTGTGATGTTCTATTATGTGTCTATGGCATTACTTATGAAACAACCCTCCGTTTAGGTTTGTGGTATGATATTCTTAATATTGAATCACATCCTTACCTTAAATCCAGATAGTACAGAAAACGTTAAAATTCAAACACAGACATCAGCTCTGTATTAAGAAAAATATATGTGTTTCTGAAAAGAGCTTTTACATTGATGAGCATCAAATGTTCATGAGAGTCACTTTTATAAATAATTTGTTTCAGGGTGCAATGTCAGCAGGTTAACAAGTTATTACCGCCTGTTGGGTAAATTAATGAACAAAAATACACTGAACAATAATGAAACTGAAAAATATATCCATGTAGGTAATCAAAATGGAAAGACTGCAAACTTTTCCAAAGAAAATTTTGCCCAAGCACCCTCTAAGAATCCTAAAATTTACGCAGGTATAATTCTGCAAAAGAGCCTTGGTCTCCTTAACCATTATGCTTGTTTTGAGGTGGACAGGCAGAAGGGGATAAAGTTTTTTTATGATGTTTCCATTCATTCATTCCCGTCTAATTTTTCTCTAAGCATTAACACATTTTTTCCTTAACTTTTTTTCAGTGCATGTACCCGAACACAGGAGCCCGCATTATGCTGTTTGTTGGTGGTCCGTGTTCACAAGGTCCCGGTCAAGTGGTCAATGATGATTTGAGAGAACCAATACGCTCTCATCATGACATACACAAAGACAATGCTCGATATATGAAAAAGGCCATCAAGCATTATGAAGGACTAGCAATGCGTGCTGCAGGCAATGGACACTGCGTTGATATTTATTCTTGCGCTCTTGATCAGACCGGTTTACTTGAGATGAAAAGTTGTTGCAATGCCACTGGGTAAGCATAAGTACAATCTTTTCTCTGATTTATGATAAAGTCTGCTTTAAAAAATAGTAATGCCATTTTTTACAGAGCATTTTGTTCACCAGATGTTTTTAAGCTCATATCACAGCAACAATATGCGACATACTTTATGCTTCCAGCTTCACAACAGCACATATCAGAGGCCAACACTTGGCATCACACAGTATTCCTTTAACATGTTGATTGCTGAGCACCTGACTCTTGGGGTCTCTGTGGCATCTCATGCACATTTTTTTTTTTCTTCCAATAAATTTCAATGATAGTTACTTTTCCAAACTTTCTAAATACATTTTTTTAAAAAAGTAAATTAGGGAGGAAGATTTTTAAGGATAATTATTTCTCTTTTGATTTAGCTGAAAAACTTTTTTATTTTTTGTTTTTTTTTGAGGCATTATTCAAGTCTCTTCAATTTACTTCTTTTAATTTTGTCCACAGAGGGCACATGGTCATGGGAGACTCGTTTAATTCATCACTATTCAAACAGACCTTTCAAAGAGTTCTTGCTAAGGACAACAAGGGAGACTACAAAATGGCTTTCAATGGAACCCTGGAAGTCAAACTCTCTCGAGAACTGAAAGGTGAGCTCTTACGGAAAATTTATTTGTCTAATTCTCCTGATTATTTGATCTGAAATAGGTTTCTCAATTTTTATCAGTTTTTGTGACGTAAGCATACTCCTACTGTAGGTTGGGGTAAAATAATTTCTACTAAGTTCCTACATCCATTTAAATTTGTTATTTCAAAATCTAGGTAGTTATACTTAAAGTAAAACTTTATCTCGGGAAGAAAAATCTGTAAACTTACTTGATGAAATTTGACCAGAATTTTTCCATTCTAAGGAGTTTTCATAACAATGAAAGACTTACCTGAAAACGTTGCACTGTAGACCTTTAAAAGTTAATTAAAAATGAGCCATTTTTCTTTAAATAATAGCAAATGCATTTTTTTTTATTATGGTGTATTACATTCTTTTGCAGGATTAAATTATGTTTTCCTTTTTCCATTTGATTACTTGTGTATTGGAAAAGTGTTACTATTACTGGATGTATTCATCATTAATTAGCAATCATAATTTTGTGCTTTTCTCTTTAGCCATGGGAGCAATTGGACCTTGCGTCTCCCTTAATATAAAGAATGCAAATGTGTCGGAGAACGAAATAGGATTAGGCGGAACATCTCAGTGGAAAGTTTGCTCTTTCAACCCGAATACAACACTGGCTTTCTATTTTGAAGTTGTGAATCAGGTAGTCATTCAGATCATGTACGAATAATCTAAAGAAAAAAAGAGAAAATAAGACAACGAAAATGTTCATATCCAAAATACAACTGCGTTATCCTGCTTTTTGATATGACAGAATTTCAATATTTGCACTCTCAGGGTGCTGACTTAAAAAGGAAAAGTCGTGAAATAAGTAGTGCTTATTGTCTTTAGTATGCACTCCGTTCAAAAACTTACAAAGATACTTAAATTAAAAAACATTGGGAATTTTGAATCCAAAAACTCAATATTATGATCTTGTCTCCTGTCTCAATAAACCTGCAACATTTAATGTGTCTGTGTGCTGACTTGTAAAGGAAAAGTAGAAAAAGATAGTGCTTAAAGTCAGTAATATGCATTCTGTTCAAATACGTTGTAAGATGGATGTACATTTTAATTCTCAAGTAACAATAGAGTAACAAAACTGCAATACATATTGTTGAATATTAATGAATATGAACTTTGTTTTCCAGCATACAGCTCCGATACCACAAGGAGGAAGAGGTTGTATTCAGTTTATAACTCAGTATCAGCATTCAAGTGGCCAAAAGAGGATTCGTGTAACAACTCTAGCCAGAAAGTAAGTAGTATTTTTTTTTCTTTTAATCTCATTGAATCATAAAAAATATAAAAATCAAACAGAAATCCAAGAAATAATTTATTCTGAAGATTTATTCCCTTCAGTTAAGAAAAAAAAAATTCTCAATGAGCCTGGAACTTGAAAAATTCTGCAAATGCTCACTAGAAAGTACCATTGCCATTGAACCTCGTCATACCACTGGGAAGCATGTATGGTATTATAGGCACTTATTTCTTGCTTGCTTTTCCAAAAAATACAAGAAGTATGCGCCAAAACACCAGAGCATTGAACATGGTAAAATAAGTTTCATGATAGGAGAGTATTGTAAGGAGAAAGTATACCAACTACATATTTCGAACTGCCTAGTTGTAAAAGTGCCTTTATTCTTCTATCTGATATATCTACTGTCTGGTCTTGGTTGTTACTTTGGAAGGATATGAAATTACCAAATGTTCTAAAGTAAAATTATTCACAGTTTGGAAACAAGGCATTTTGAGAAAAGGAACCTATTAAGTGGATTTTCTTCCAGTTGATGCAATTTTATTTTAACTCCGATTTCAGTCCTTGTAATTCGTCAACTGCATGAAAAAGTGATTTTTTTTATTCGCAAATATTGAAAATAGATACAGTCAAACCTCACTGAGTTAGAGCCCGCACATTTTCGGAAACCCAGCTAACTCAGTAATAATGGATTAGTCCCACTTTTTCATTTTGCTAAAATGAAGTCTGCTCACTTTGGATTTACGTCAGTTAGAAGCAACCGATTCAATTTTGAGCTTTCGTATTTTATTATATAGTGTAAAATATATTGTTTAATCATAAAATATTTTCCTTATGTCATGTCTTTTTGAAACCTAAAAATGTTCATTATCAAAAGAAAAATTACTATCTTTGGGCTGTATAAAAGAAAACTAGGTTCCTCTGATTGGCTCTCTTGTCTCACTCTTGGCTCTATTGCTCAAGTTTGATTTTTTTGTCCGCAGTTGGGTTGACTGCGCAACAAATATTCACCATGTTACAGCCAGTTTTGATCAAGAAGCAGCTGCTGTAATCATGGCCCGCACTGCTGTTTTCAAGAGTGAAAGCGACGATGGTCCTGACGTCATGCGATGGGCAGATAGGATGCTAATCAAGTTGGTGGGTATTGATTTTCCCCTTATTTTCTACGGACCCCTAAACAAAAAAATCTCGTCATCATGTTATGAATTATGGAAGGTCGCTTGGTTGCTTTTCATTCTAGGGTGTATCAACTTTGATCTAAATGTCTAATTTCCAGTGTAAGTCAGTGTCAGTTGCCAGAAAAAAATAATGAAGAACCAAGTTTATTTTCCACAAAGGCACTTTTTCGATTTGTGCCCTTTTTTCGGAAAGGTGTTCAATTGACTTGTGTCCTCCAACGAATTTCGCCTTTTTTCCCCCCCACAAAAAAAATAAATGGATTGAAAGTTTAAACGATGAATGCACCTGAAATTGTTTAATCTATTATTTAAAAACTGAAAAAAGAGGAGGAAAAAAAATTGAATTTCCAAAAGTTATTCTGTTCAATTTCCAATTTCCTCAATAAATATACGCCTAAAAAGATGAAATTCTAGGCAAATAAAATTGTAAAAAATCTCAAAATCATCCTGCACCGAAGAGATGAACAAGTGGCAAACCTCAGTCGTTTTTATTGTCAACTCTTTCTATAATTGGACGTATTTCTGCCAAACGGAACTATGTGCATCAAGACATGAGCCCTGAGATGCATGAGAATATGTGCATAAGAGGGCTCACGTCACAATGCACATAGTTCCGTTTGATAGAAACACGTCCAATTGAAAATCCCAAGCAGGCTCTGTTTTTATTTTTCCCTCACTATAAAACTCATTTTTATCTATCTTTATGTTGCAGTGTCAAAAGTTTGGAGAATATAACAAAGAGGATCCTAATAGCTTCAGACTACCAGAAAACTTCAGTCTTTTCCCGCAGTTCATGTATCATTTGCGACGATCTCAGTTTTTGCAAGTTTTTAACAACAGTCCCGATGAAACATCTTTCTATCGACATGTACTCATGCGCGAAGATTTAACGCAAAGTTTAATAATGATTCAGCCAATTCTGTATAGTTACTCGTTTAATGGTCCTCCAGAACCAGTATTATTGGACACCAGCAGCATACAGCCAGATAGAATTCTTCTTATGGACACCTTCTTCCAGATTCTGATATTTCATGGAGAGGTGAGTAGTACTGTAATTCTTATTTTTCCTGCTGACATAGTCATCTTTTTTCTGCTATCAGTGTCATCTTTTTCCTCATTTTGAACTCTCAATAGTTGCAATTGCATTCCTCCCTTTTTTCATTCCTTTCCTCTTATTTTTTGTGGTCTTTGATAAGGGCCTAGGCCCTGTATGTCCAGCCATTATCGTATCAGGTAGTTCAGGCTTACATCTAAGTGATAAAATAAAATAAAAATTTGTCCGTATCCGTAAGAGGCGAATTTTTCCGAGTGGATTTCGTTGACTTTTTTGAGAAACGTTTTTTTTCAACCCAATCCATTAGGTTGAAAATTATATAATCAATTCTGATTGGTCCCAATTCCAACAGTGATACAACAGTCATCTATTTAAACAATTAACCAAAGCCAGTCCCAAAAATTCGCCCAAGGACAGTGGTCTTTTTTGCAATATTTTGAGTTTTGGACCAATTTAATCAAGACCTCAAAAATGATAGATTCAATCTTAATATTTAGGTAGGAGATAAACAGTTGTTGTCACAAAATTTATAGCTATCGTTCGATCAAAAGAAAAAATTTGCTACAAACATAACATGTAAGTATCGCTCAGACGTTTTGTTTTTCAATCTAAGTCCCCCTCTCCATTACTATTAGACATATCAGACGTGATTTAAAGTTACATGATCTGAAATTTTGTGCCTAGGATGTTTAAAGCAGTTTGAATGGAAACATCATACTGGGCGTTTCAGACCAACTGCCCCATCACTTTTATCCAAGCTTAGTTTTGTCCGCCTCTACCAAGGAAATTAAAGCCATTCTATTGAATCTCATTTGTCCAAGGGCAAGAATAATTAATCATACTATTTATTTTTTTTAAATTAATCTTTTTGTAATCAATAACCAAGTTCAAAAATTAAAGAGCCCAAGATTTTTCGAACACTTAATTACTTTTATGTAAAAGCACATCGGAAATAAATATGCTAATTATACATTTTTTCCAGTTTTTATAAATTAAGCTAATTCTTGATCATTTGATGTGTCTACATTTTTTTGTATCGGATTTTTTGTTTTCTCTTTCTTGTGGCTCAACCGTAATTTTTTCCTCTTCTTTTTTTTCCATTTTATAGACCATTGCCCAATGGAGAGCTCTGAAGTATCAAGATATGCCAGAATATGAAAACTTCAAACAACTTTTGCAAGCTCCTGTCGACGATGCTCAAGAAATTTTGCATACCAGGTTCCCCATGCCGAGGTACATCAACACTGAACAAGGTGGCTCACAGGTACCTTTTTTTTCATATACATTTTTTCATCGCCAAAGTATCAGGTTCAAGACTTTTTAGCAAACACAACAATTGAAAAATCGTCGTCTCCTGCACAAAGGAACGTATCTTGATTGGATTATCTCTTTAGTTTATATGAACGTTCTATTCTTTTATAGGAGAATTGTCTTATACATTTTCTTAAAATTTCCTAACTTTTCTTTATATTTGTGAAAAAAGGCATCTAATTTTTCAAAAAATTAGTTTTCCGATGAAACAATAAGTTGTTTACTTGTACAAATTCTGACAAGTACTGACAGTACGAACAAGATAAGTTCCTTTGTGTGAGAAATGACAAAATTTTCAGCCATTTTTAGTGGCATTTTTTCTTTTTCTCATTATCTGTCGTATAGAATCCTATATCATAAACTGAAAATGTTGATTTGCAAATTATAAAAGTCTTATGTAAGTCTGTTTGTTTCTCTTCCCTCCTTGATCTTCCTCATTGCTTTTCAAAGAAGATTATTTTGACTTCTTCTATTTTCAGGCCCGATTTCTGCTGTCCAAAGTCAACCCATCACAAACGCATAACAATATGTACACATATGGTGGGGTAAGTTGAAAATTTTATTTGTGTTTTTACTGGAGAGAAAAATATTCCTCTCATTGTATGGCATTGCCATTTGTCGAGAGTTAGCATTTTTATCAAGGATTCCAAATGAAAAAGCACCATATACATACATTTTTTGGCCAAGGAGGCGCTAAAACTGCCTTTTTTTTTTTAAAAAAAAAAAAAAGAGAAATTGATTCCTCTTTTCCCCGCAGTCAAGCCAATGTCATCCGCTAAATAGGCAGGCTCTTTTTTGAAAGGTGCAATGTAGATATGTTCATATTGCTGAACAGGAAGTTCCTAAAAAATGCTCATTTTAGTCAGAAATTCCCTCTTATGATTCGTTTTTTTGTGAACAATTTACATCAAAACCAGTATTTTAATATGGCATCTCGATGTTTCCTTACTCGCAGTACTGGTTCACTTTAATTTTATTACCTTCTAGTCTTTATGATCATCAATTTTGCCTATTCTATTCTATCTATTTTGTTGCAGGATGGAGGTGCTCCAGTACTCACAGATGATGTTAGCCTCCAAGTTTTTATGGAGCATTTGAAGAAATTAGCCGTATCGCCCAACACGTAAAATCCCTTCATGATCTTTATTTTTAAGAGTGATGGATTGTTCAAATGTTTTTAACTTTTCCCATACTCTTAGGTAAATTTGAAGTCCACAATCTAGTAAACAATCTGCACTTGTGAATCAAATCATACTAGCTTTAGATTAATCAATTTATCTTCTTTTGAGCTTGTATGCTTGTCAAATCTACATCAATGCCTTTATTGAATCAATACTTTTAAAAAGGGTGGAAGTCCATTTTTAAAAACCATTTTTTGTTTTTGCATTTTCGAACTTTTTAGTCGTCTTTACCATTTTACCCAAGAGAGTAGCGGTAGTCCGCCTCTTGGATGATGAGTGACAGACTCCTTGGAATGAAAATTTTACATAGAAAAAGGGTCAAAAATGCAAAAAAATCAGTTTGAAAAATTGGACTTTCGCCCCTTTTATAATTACTGATTCTACTATTATTTGATTGAATGGCATTTTACGCTTTAAACCGAATCTTTTTGTAGAATTTCTATTATAAGAACCCCAAAATGCTGAAACTTTTAAAGAGTTTCATCAGCACTGTTGAATTTATACATCTTTATGATATCATCAGATTTTAATCAAAGCTGAGAAAAAGTAGCTAAAACCAAATATGTTATTAAACTTTTATTTATTAAATTCAGCCAAAGCAAAAAGGTTGTGGGTACGGCAAATTGGGAGGTTGATTAATAGTTTCCAAGTTTAAGTTAATATTTGATATGACTTAGCATTTAACACTGTGGCTATTTTCCTTTTTACTGAGCTTCAGAATCTTTTGTTTTTCACCGTACTGATTTGCATTAAGATATTTTCATAAATTATTAATCGATGATTAATCTAATGTCTTGTCAGAAATCTAAAGCTGAAAATTTAACCCAGGGAAAGTTTTCCCTTTGTCTTTCATTGATTATTTTCTTTTTTTTTATATCTCTCTCTCTGCTCAGGGAAGTTTGGTTTAGTCATTTCATCCTTAGCATTGATGTTTTCTCATATCAGTATTTTCAAGAATTTGTAGTATTACCGCATAAATTAAAAGTGAGTGAGCGAAGGCTGAATTATCAAGCCTGCCAGGGGCTTAATATGTAGTGAAATTTAGTTATAATCAGTATTAATTTGAAGCTTTAACTTTCTTCTCACCTCTTGAACTGCTTTATCATTTTACAGTATGATTATTCTTTCTACTCATAATGTTTTTCCCATGAAGCAACTGTTTTGCTTCACAAAAGTTCTATTTTAAATGAACGCTGTAAGTTTAGCCCGAATTATTGAAGTCCAGTCCACCAGTATTTTATTTTTAGTGAATATTCTTTTTAGAAAAAGTGTTGAATAAAATGTCTTGTTGTTTCAGTCATGCATAATAAATGCTTATTTATTTGATGATTAAATTATTCGTTTGAAACTTATCCTATTTCTCCCTTAGCTCCCAGCATTTTTCACAAATTTTGACAGTGTGAAGATTTTCACGATTCTTTATCAGATATGCTCTGAATTTAAGGAACAAAAAAAGAAGAAGAGTTGAATGTACAGCCTTCATCAGATTAGATACAAAGATGGAGACATTACAAGGGAAAATTCACTCTAAATGAGGTTTTTCAGTTTGTAAAGAGTAATATTGTTCTGCAATCAAGCATCCATGGCTACGATGGAATATAAACATCTTTGTCTCTCAAAATATAATTCACCTCTCACTACAGTGTTTTCACCAAAGGACTGCATTTTGCAATAGAGAGCCACTGTTTCTGATTCATGTAGGAAACAGAATGTGTGCTATTAATTTTCTTACACAAATAGGTGCTCTCCATGAATAATTAGATTAGATTAGATTAGGAACCTGAAACCCGGCAACACTTTGCTTCTACCCCTCCGGTGCAGCGGTTGAGCGCCAAATTGACCAGTTCGGTAAACGCTTCATTGCGAATTTGGGCCACGGCTAGTTTGACAGCTGGTTCCGTTTCATCAGAGATGCCATCGTATGCCCGTTTGCCTTTTCGAGAAGATCGATCATTTACTCCCAATCATTGTTTTGCACGGAGTGCATAGAGTTATAATAGGAATAGAGGAGCCGGCACCACTTCTAAGCATTTTCCTGTCACCAAATTTTATGACTCCTAAGCAGAGGCAGACTGGCCCGCACCGGGAAATCGGGAAGCTATCGATGAGCCGGTGAAGGGGAAAAAAGAAAGGGGCAAAAAATGAAACAAGAGTACACTGGGTGATGAAAGGGGCTCTTGAGTACACTTCATCCCCACTGGAAAAAAAAAAAAAAACACAATTGATGTAGAATCCAGACTCTTGAAAACATTGACAAGAAAAAATACTCTTCATTCAATCAGAGTTAAGCTGAAATCAAAAGGAAATCCGCTCAAATTAAGAGGCTTGGTTCTTGATTTAAGCAAAAATCCGATTGAATCAAGAGCATTTTTTCTTGTCGATGTTTTTAAGAGTCTGGACTCTAGATTCAATGTGTTTTTTTCCAGTGTTTAAAGAGACACCATAGAGAATGAGTTGGCCGCTTAGATTCTAAGAGGGTCGGCGGCTGAAACTCCGGTCGGCCCTTTGAAAATTCTCGAGACGACGAAAAGTTTTCGTCGTGAAAATTAAAAGAGGACCGGCCACCGGCGCACGGTGGAAAGAGTAAAAAGGAGAGGTCGGACAAAGCTTGGAAAGTTTAGACGCTTATAACTTCGCTCATACAAAACTTCGATGTTCTAAAAGCTGTTCCATCGGTTTTCTCGTTAAATTATCTTCTAGAAGCACCCCTTGAAATTTAAAAAAAATAAAAAGAAATAAACATCAAAATTTGTAGTTTTAGTCTAAAATTTCATGTCCGACCTCTCCTATTGACTCGATCCACTGTGCGGCAGTGGCCCAAATCATAATCCTTTAGGTGACTCTGACCGGCCCACCAAAAATGTACGAGGACCCTAGAAATTCTGGAACATATCAGTTCTTAAAGTGGGCCAATTTAGTTATATGTGCCAAATACCTAGCAAAATGCAGTCCAAATGATCACACTAGTACATCGCTGAACAGTGAGGAAGTCGTTTCACGTGCATGCTTCTATTTAGAATTATTTATACAAATATGTAAGTGAAGAGAGGAAAATTAGTTGGGTTCTACATAATGTTTTATCATTTGAAATGACAATAATTCCAACAAACTGTACAAAAACTTCAAAATTATAAGTTGAAAACCGCTGACACCGCAAGTTTGAGTAGTTGCATCAAACATAGTGAGGCCAGCGCGCGGGGCTGGCGCGCACGGCTCGGACGGATAGTAGCGCCTTACAAGACCGCAGGATACTTCATGTATTGCGTGTACAGCGCGCCGCGCACGGTAGCGCCTTACAAGTCTGCAGGATACTTCATACATTGCGCGTATACTACGGAGCGTGCTCAAGTCGCTGAAAAGTCGTATTTTCGTGAAAAGTTTATAATTTACTTTTTTTTTTTTGGTGGCAAAATCATCCTAACGGAAAACTTGTAAGAATCCAAAAGTGAATTAGATACATTTATAAGCGGACAACTGAAACTGAGCGCAAGAATTCGCTTAGTCTCTAAATTTCAAAATTATTGAAGAAGCTATGACAGAATAATTTAATCTGCCAGGTAACTTTTACCTGGCATGAGAGATGCTGCGATATAACGTAACAAGGCGCTTCATTTATTCAAATCAGGTTTTTTTTTTTTTTTTTTTTTTTTTTTTTTTTTTTAACAAAATATTGTGTAACTATTCAGCTGACCAAGCACTTTCATATGAAGTAATCCACTTTTCTAATAAAAATTCTTTATCGGAAGGAAGGAGCACAGCCATCGTTTTAGAGCAAGAAGGGCTTCAAAATTGAAGTAGGTAGGCAACATATAGCACAAGAAATTGCTGAAAAAACATGTATCATGTAATCAAGACTCTTAAGATTATGACAGCATTGTCTCTGTTTGTTTTATTTTTCGGAGGTAACAAAACTTTCAATCAAAAATTCAAAGTACGAGGGGCGTTCAATAAGTAAGTATCCCCCCCCCCTCTAAAAGCCATAAGAATGGACCAATTTTGAAAAACTTGGGCTCAAAATCTTCCTTAGGATATTTTGAGTTCAACAAAACAAACCGCAACAAAATCGGACTATGTGCGGCCGAACGCGAGCCGTTTGAACGCGCCGAGGAGCTCGACGCTCCCGCCGAATCTGCGATGATTTGAAGTCCGCTACAGGAGAAGAGCTTCTCTGCCAAAGCCTCAGTCGTTCATCACTGACGAAAAATCAAAGAAATTTTTGTAGAATAAGGGGCTTACCTCACTTCTCCACATAAGCAGCTCGATCCAAGCAAGTCTGATACTGAGACTAAGACTAAGAGAACAGCTTTTGGATGCCTCGTGCGTGGAAGTCTTTCAGCTGACCGCGGATGAAAGAGTGGACGGCTTGTTTTGACCTCTTCCACTGATTCAAAATTAACTCCTCCAAGTTCAGATTTCAGGAACGGGAATAAATGGTGGTCTGGTTTGCCATTTATTATCGTTTCTGAAATCTGAACTCGGAGGAGTTAATTTTGAATCAGTGGAAGAGGTCAAAACAAGCCGTCCACTCTTTCATCCGCGGTCAGCTGAAAGACTTCCACGCACGAGGCATCCAAAAGCTGTTCTCTTAGTCTTAGTCTCAGTATCAGACTTGCTTGGATCGAGCTGCTTATGTGGAGAAGTGAGGTAAGCCCCTTATTCTACAAAAATTTCTTTGATTTTTCGTCAGTGATGAACGACTGAGGCTTTGGCAGAGAAGCTCTTCTCCTGTAGCGGACTTCAAATCATCGCAGATTCGGCGGGAGCGTCGAGCTCCTCGGCGCGTTCAAACGGCTCGCGTTCGGCCGCACATAGTCCGATTTTGTTGCGGTTTGTTTTGTTGAACTCAAAATATCCTAAGGAAGATTTTGAGCCCAAGTTTTTCAAAATTGGTCCATTCTTATGGATTTTAGAGGGGGGGGGGATACTTACTTATTGAACGCCCCTCGTAGGTATCGTTCTCGATGCTTACGAAGGATTTAGGCCATAAAGAAGTCGAAACAAGTTTGGGTGAGAATGGAAAGATTTTTTCTTTTTATTATTATTATTATTATTAACAATGTTTCTGAAGGTTATCATCTTAGACAATTCTTTTACAAATTTACAAAAATGCATTTTAGTACGATGTAAGTTGATAGGTTAAAGCTACCTTGCATGATCACAGTTGATTTTGATGAGTACCTAACACACGTTACGGAAGACTAATATAATTCGTAAAATTGTTTTAAGAACAATAAATTAATTTTAAGTCTGATTTTGCTCTCTAGAATCTATCTGTTGATGATTCATTCTTCCAAAATAAAATAATGAGTGTAAATCCAGGGGAAAAAAGAAAGGTAAAATCCTAAACTTAGGACAGGAGAAATAAACAATGACAAGTTTTGAAAACAAACAAATTATGGTTCACAATGTGTATAAAAAACATGGCAACGAGATGAGAATCGTACTTCACTATATATACATACATTTACACTTTATATCATTCAATTCAGTGTTGTGATTTACTGTCGTAGGCGAAGAATTTCCGGCGAAGATGTTCTGGGTATTTTGCATACTTCTGTTCTGGGTATTTCGCATACTTCTGGTAATATTTCTGCTGGTATTTTGGCACCTTGAGGTTTGTTGGCACCTACAAAACAACATAACAGATGCATTAAAGTGACGAATTACCAAAAAACAAAATATAAGATTACATACGTGGTAAAGCAATTTTTAAGCTCACGGAGTGCCCAATTTATCACCTGGACTGTGACTGTGTTGCCAGCGAGGAAAGTTTTTCAGACTCGGAAAAAAATTTAAAATAGATACATAGGCCGGTTCACGCCATTCGTTTTCGGCTGTGTCCCTAACCCAACATTGAAGCACCACCACGAATGAGGCAAGCGTAGCCAACACAGCATGGAAATAGAGCAAGGGAAAGGACGCGTGTTGATGACGGCGCAGACATACAACTATTCGTACTTGATGGATGTCCGTGATGTATCTACAAAATTGAAGGCGCGATGGTGCGAGACGTGAACTCGTTATCCTTCGTTCTGTGCTGCCAGTGAGGTTTCGCTCAGACTCGATAAAAAAGTCAAAGTAAAAAAAATTGGCCGGTTCACGCCATTCTTATTTTCGGCTGTGTCCCTAACCCAACATTGAAGCACCACCACGAATGAGGCAAGCGTAGCCAACACAGCATGGAAATAGAGCAAGGGAAAGGACGCGTGTTGATGACGGCGCAGACATACAACTATTCGTACTTGATGGATGTCCGTGTTGTATCTGCAAAATTGAAGGCGCGATGGTGCGAGACGTGAACTCGTAATCCTCTGTCCTATCATTCTGTGCTACCAGTGAGATTTATCCCTCAGGCTTGGTAGAAAAAGTTTTAAAAAAACTAGGCTGGTTCATGTCTTTCCTATTATCGGCTGTGTTGACACTCGATTTTTCTTTTTTTTTCAATTTGATGTCTGATTCTTTTTCTAGGATTTTTTTGTAGCTCGTACATCTAAAGCTCGTAGGTACCGGTCCCATACAACCCATGTATCTAGTGTTAATAGATAGCCTCGGGTCAATTTAGCCCTGTTTTTTGCTTCTAAAGATTAAGTATTAAAAAGTTTAAATTTTTCTTTTGGAATAAAAATTTCTTTAAAAATAGCGGTATTTTAATAATCTTTTTACGTAAATACTATACGTAATTTTTTATTAAAAAATACCAGAAACATTAGACATATTTTTTTTAAAATAATAAGATACTAAGAGAAAAGTAGCCTTGATACCTTGTGTACATGTCTTCTTTTCTTCGAGGCCTTTCAATTTAATAAATCGTCTTCAGGCAGGACCTTCATCATATTTTAAAATGGTCTAATAAACATGCCTTGGTTTACAGAAAATTATCACTGAAAAAAAAATATTGCTGAATTTGCCGTGCACGCGGGTATTTCATGGCATGGTGTAGCTAAAAAACGAACGTGCAAACCATGCAGGTAAAATCGATACACAAATTTCAGCTAACTTACACACACGCGTGTAGGTGATTTTGCTCTCTGAAAAGCTACGTCTGTTACCTTTTTAGTTATTCTTCCGTAAATTTCGCTATTTTTCCGTAAATTCCGCTATTTCAGCCTAACTATTGAGCTGTTTTTACTGTTCGCAAAATACCAATACCAAAAAATGCAGTTACACTTTCAAGCCACTCGATGCAAGATTAACTGCATGAAGGCGCGCAGATGTAGCAATTCGTGCTAGTCGTTCACTTGATTCAACACCGTGCACGGATAAGAAAGCTTTACGAAGTGAAGCAAATTTTGCTCCACCCTAAATCGGTGAATTAGCAATCCTTTTTTTTCAGTGATGGTTTTGGTTATAGTCCTTTCTCTTATACTTTCTTAAGCTTTTGAAAGATGCCTTTCCAAGTTGTTGTCATGAGGATGTAATAGTCAAGATTTGTTTCTGAAGAGAGGGGCAAAGGTACACTAACTCCTCACAGAGGTCTAACCTTAATGGGCAGGTACTTACATACAACCAAAAGTTTTCTTGGAAGTTTGAGACCCCCGGGACTCTCTAGATAACGACAATGTACACGAAAACCATTTTTACCATGGACTAGTGTTGTTGACTTTTTCCCAATAATAATCGATGAAATCAAAAGTGCCGATTTTCTGCAAAAACTCGATTATTCGAAGAAAAATCAAGCCAAAACGATTTTCAAGAAAATCGCTGTGAATGTAAAATAGATTTTTAGGATGAGTATTGTGCCGTTCGTTTTTCTTAAATTCTCGCCTCGCTGAGCGTTGGGTTTCATTGGCCCTTTAATTAATTTCGATGGATTCCTTAAATATCCAGGAGGAAAATTTTTGCTCCTAAAAAATCGAAAATTTTTGATTTGTGAGTACAAAATCAATTCAGCCGCAAAATCGTTTGCAAAAAACCGATTCAAATTAATCGATTATTTTATGCATGCGTGTGTTTTGTGCTCCCGAAAATTGAAAACAATTCAACAACACTGCCACGGAAAACTCGACTTCATTTTGATTCTGAAATTTTCAGGATGATGGGTAATCGGAAACTTACATAGTTGATGGATTGTTTTTTGAGGTATCGGATGTATTTGTAGTTGTAGGGCACGTAGCTCGGGTCCAGAGGAGCCGGTTCTGGGTTTTCGTTGGTGTACTCGTAAACAGGAGCCGCCTCCAGGACCGTCCGCCTGATGGGGGTGCTGAATTTGGATTCACCGGGCGCCAGAGGCTCTGCGGGCATGATCGGGGTCAGTTTTCCAGACGGCACCATTATGCTCCATACTGACGAGAGGCAGCATAGCACCTGGAACAAATAACCGAACATATAGGAAAAGTTATTCCATTTGTTTAAGAAACAACTTGACCGGCCCGAAACGATAAAACAAAATCAAGTTAATGGGACTGAGGCCGCAAAAATAAAAATATAAAATAAAAACCCGAGATGTTTTGCAGTACCACAACTTCATCCCCAATCGGAAAAAAGGAAAATAAAAAAAAGCAAACTGAGCCTCTTCGCTGTTATTGTGAGACTTAAAAGTAGAGCACTTCTGCCGTGCCAAGGAAAAACGCCGTATGAACCTTCAGGCGGTGCCAAATTTTCTTTGAAAAATCACGAATTTACGGAAATATTAACAGACATTTATCTTCCGGTTTTTCGGAGAATTTTGTTCTTAATTTGATTCAAATAGTCCGAAAATTTCGAGAAAAAATGCTCTTTATTTTCTTAAAAAATAAACCTTTTAGTGAAGGAAATTTGGCAACTGTCGAATGTTGATACGGCGTTTTTCCTTAGCACGGCAGACTTGTTAATAGTCCTAAGAGTTGAGACACGAGGCATCCATTTTATTGGTTCCCGTATTTTAGGCCTCCTCAGTGTTACAAAATTGAAGAAGATTACATTCTTTGTGATTGCAGAGATTATAAACAGGAATGGACTCGGGAATTTGGGGGAGGTCGAGGAGGAAACGGAATTAGAGAAGGAGCACGGAGGAGAGGAATATGGGAATAAATTGATTAAAGATCGCAAAAAACTTCAAACTGTGTAATCTTCATTCCGTTGTTCGTGATATTTATGAGCATACGTGTCTCAACTCTCCCCATAAAAGGGACTCGACTTGTTAGCATTGCGAGAACTTTGAGTATCGGAGTCAATGGAAGAGATTGAGTCGGATAGTTAAGAAATTGTCTACCCCTTACATTTGAAGGCGCACTGACTGGCTTGGATATACGACAATGGGTAAGAGACTTCTTCGTCATCTTCCTGCCGCGGTATGATATGCCTAACGCTTCGACGCTATGCTGCTGGACACCTTAGTATTTTGCACAGACTTTCGCAGGGATTAACTTTAATTACAGGCGGAATATTGGGTACAATTTTTTAGTGAATCTATTCATGATTTTTTTTCGTAAAAAATTGGACAAATGTGAAGTCTGTTGGCGACATAGTAGCGAGGCACAAATCAATGACCAAATTACGAAACCACGTATCTCCGCTTCCGACGTTGCAGACATCCCGCCATTATTGATTCCTTCTTCGGAAAACTAATCAACGTAATATTTAAAAACTTTCTTGATTTTTCTTCTCTATCATCTGAGTATTCTTTAAAGATTTTTAGATTCTCTCCGAAAAAATAGACAAGGAGCGGACATTTGACAATGATATTCCCCCTCATCCTCATGTCGGGAGAATGACAGACTATGTATTATCAAGAGAATTGCACCGACTTGCCATGGATACATTGCACACTAATCTGTTTATCCCAAAGCTTTTCCACAGATACGATTTACCAGGCTCGATAACTGTTAATTTTAAAAGGTACTTTGACTCACAAATTGAGCACGTGGCTGGTAAATTTTCACATATTACGGTATTTGACGTAGACATCTTTAAAAGAGATATGTTCACTGCTCACGGTTTTCATCTAAGTTACTCAGGCAAAAATGAACTATTGAATATTTTTCTAAAAAAAGTAAGTTCCTCTTTAAACTTATTTTAAATGACGCAGCAGGTCTCGCTGAATGTGAAGAAAAAAACGAAAACGAAAATGTAATTTTTGAAAATTTAAATCGCAAAATCAATTTTAGCAACACTAATGATATCGGTCAAATATTCTCACTGTTAAACTTCAATATTAGAAGTATTCAAGGCACTGTAAAATCCCACCTGCTGCACTTGGAAATCTCTAAGCTGCAGAAACTTCCTGACATAATCTGTATCACCGAACACTGGTTTAAAAACTTGGCCCCAATACCTATTAAAGACTATGTTTGCGCAAACTTCTATTCCAGAGATAAAAAGAGGGGGGGAGGCTCCTCAATCTATTTAAGAAACAGCCCCGGAGCACCAGTTATTCTGTTCTCACCCTGTGAAGAATTGACTAAACTCGCAATAGAGTCAGCTTTTGAAATCAGTGCAGTTATTATAAAGAAAATCGACCAATGGGTCCCAAGTGCCCCTTTCCTTATAATCAATATTTACAGCACGCCCTCTTGTGACACTGAACTATTCTTTCATAAGCTTGAAGAACTGCTTTCTATAATCGTTAAAAAGAAAGCTCATTTTTTAATATGTGGTGACTTCAATATTAACTTATTGGATAAAAATTGCAAAGAATCTTCCTATTTTCTTAACATGCTTTCTTGTCACAATCTTGAGCCTGTATTCAAAAATACTCCATCTCGGATCTCCAAAGACTCTAAAACCTTAATTGACAATTGCATAAGTAACTTTCCAATTTCTAACGCGATAACTTTTGATCCTGGTCTTTCAGACCATAGGGCGCAAGTAATATCGATCGAAAAGAAAGTAATTGCAGTAAAATCTGAAAAAAATAGGGGCTACCGCTCCTGGACAATTGTAAATAAATTCAATCTCAGAAGTCTCCTAATTTACTGTATGTCAATTCTAATGTTATGTAAAGATAATGTATCACTTGAATTTAATAAGTTTAACTCACTTCTGTACAATGCAATGGAGACCTGTTGTCCAATCAAACCCAATATGAAGGATAAAAGATCACGAACTTTCAAATATAATGATGAAATTTTAGCTTTAAGTGAGAAGAAAAAACATCTCTATGAGAAATACAAGAACACTGGCTCTAAAAAGTTCAAAAAAGCTTGGAACGTAGCAAATAAACAATGTAAAAAGTTATTGTACACTTTGAAGAGAAATTCTAATGATCTTAAATTAAAGAACTCCAAAAACAAAAGCAAGACAGTGTGGAACATCATTAAAGAGGAAACAGAGAGGTTTCAATCTCCCTTAATTGACATTGTTGAGTCCGATGGTCAGATATTCACTGATCCCTACGACATAGCAAACTCTTTCAATAAATTTTTCACTGGTCTTGCCTCAAAATTTAATGCTAATGCTGACATTCCTGCAGCCATGAACTTATTGCGAGACACCATCCCTATAAGTACATCATTAGAATTTTCCTTCAAACCAATTAGTTTGGAAACTCTTTCCACTGTTATTAAGGATCTTAAAACAAACAATCAAGATACCTTCGGAAACATTCCCACCAAACTACTGATTGAGAACTTTGATGTAATAGGAGACCCTCTCTTGAAACTTGTAAACCTCTGCATTACAGAAGGTGTCTTTCCTGAATTCATGAAAAAGGGAACTGTCACCCCTCTCTTTAAAAAGGGTAATCGTAAGCTTGTAACCAACTATCGTCCAATTACTATAATTCCAACCTTAGCTAAAGTTCTAGAAAAAATCCTTTATAATCAGCTTTACAGCTACTTTGAAACCAATCAGCTGTTTGACGACCACCAATTTGGCTTTCGCAAAAAAAAATGCACCACTCAGGCTATTCAAAAATTAGTGGACAACATTTATTCGGCCTTTGAAAATAAATCCCCTATAGCAAGCATCCACTTCGATCTATCTAAAGCATTTGATACAGTAGACCATAGCCTCCTTTTATACAAACTTCAACACTACGGCCTAAACGAATCTTCAATAATGCTTATACGATCATACTTATCCAACAGGTTTCAATCGGTCAAAATAGAGACTGTGGATGGCCCTGTCTTCTCTGAGACATTAAATGTCAATTTAGGAGTTCCCCAAGGATCATGTCTCGGACCCCTGCTCTTTATAATTTTTATCAACGATCTCCCAGGTTTTCTAGATGCCCTCACTTTCTTATTCGCAGATGATACCTCTACAACAGTCAGAGGGGAAGATGTACTTACTCAGTTAAAAACAACTTATAACCAAGCACACAATTGGTTCAAAGCGAATGGCTTGTCCTTGAATGAAGATAAGACTCAATTAATTTCTTATGTTCCGTCTAAAAGAGTCAAACAACCTACTGATCTTACTTATGGAAATACATTTGAAATCGACGATAACACCCAACTTAATTTTCTTGAATCCACAAATTTCTTAGGAGTATTTTTAGATCAGTACCTTACATGGGAATCCCACATTGATAATATAATTAGAAAACTCCAAAAGAGCAAATGGGCAATAAGAAATCTTGTGAAAGTTGCCTCTCTCAGTTCTGCTCTCCTATATTACCATGCTAATGTAATGTCTCACATCCGCTATGGAATCGCTGTATGGGGCAGGAGTAGCTTTACAAAACGTGTTTCCAAAGAACACCTCAAGATCATTAGAATTATATACAACAAACCATATGGAAGTGACTGTAAAGAAATAATGTCATCAGAGAGACTGTTTACAGTGACCTCTTTATACATCTATGAATGTATTAAATATGCAGTAGAAGGAGAAATAATAAAGCCGGCTGATCTATTTCCCACACACAACTACAACAGCAGACACTTCTTCATCCCCAACAATTCCACCAAGTACAAAATTTCTGAAAACAGTGTTAAGTTTGCTTCTATTCAGCTGTTCAATGCTCTCCCTCTAAATATTAGACTTCACTTTAAGAACTCAGAGATCAGCAAATTTTTTTCACATTTGAAATCGTTTCTTTTGGCTGAATCCTTTCAAGATCTCTCTGAGTTTTTCACCACTGCTTAACTTCCTAACTTAATGTTCTAGTATTGATAACTCACGGTATTCACTCTCTCTGTTTTCCAACTTGCTGTTATTGCAGGTTATAAATTTATTATAAGATAAATTTGTTTTAACGTCTTTTTTGTAACTAAATACCATGTTGACTAGTACAATAGCCCCATATGGTGGCTTTATGTATGTTATGTAAAAAATAAAATAAAAATAAATAAAAAATTTGGAACACAATGGAAAAACGTGGATTCGCACTTCAGCCATCAAGATATACGCAAAAAAATTTAGTCGGTGCTGATGACAAAACC